TTTCCCTTTTTTTGGGAAGTAAAAAAAGACTCCCCCATGGGGGGGGGACCCCCCATTTTCACCCCCCCTTAAAAAAAAAAAAGGGTAATTTTAATTTAAAATTTTTTTTTTTTTTTAAAAATAAATAATTTTTTATAAATAAATTTTAACCTTTTTTTTTTTTTTTTTTTTTTTTAAAAATAACACCTTATTTTAAATTCCACAATCCTTCAAAATCAAAGGGGGTTTTTTTTTTTTTAAAAAATGGTTTTTTTTTTTTTTTTTTTTTTTTTTTTTCAATTTTTTTTTCCCACCCAAATTTTTTTATTGTCAACAAAATATGGTCAATATTTTTTAGATAAAATATGAATAATAAAAATAATAGTGGCTTTAGATACCTGGGTAAGAAGATATCGGATGAAAGGGAAAAGGCCGATGAAGAAGATGATTGTTATAACTATGAAGAGTTTCCAATCAAAGATTTTGACACATCAGATAATTTCAATCACTGTTTTAATAAAAGAAATCCAATCCAAAATATAAATATTAATAATATTTTTCCAAAATCAAATAGTTTTGATAACCTTAATAAATATATATCTAATAATTTCAATGGAAATGGTGTCTCCCCAAAAGATCAATGTGGATATAGATCAGAAAACAATACCCCAATAATTCATTTAGTTGACAGCAACTTTGTGAACCTATCGCCCACCCTCTCAAGTCATCAAACCTCTTTGAATGCCCCTGCCTCTCTTCCATCTCACCTCCAAACGTTAAATTTATTTACCCCTGTTGTATATGATTTATCTCAACAAAATAATATACCAGATATTAAAATTAATCAACTTTATCAAAATCCAAAGAATAATCAATATGAATCAAATTATAACCAAAATCAAAAAACACAAGTATTCCAACACAAACAACACAAACAACAAAAGCCATACCAACTACAACAATTTTCACCATCAGAACAGTATAAAGAAGAAAATAATCAACCAAACCAAAAAAAACAAACTTCATTTTATACCCATCAACATCAACATCAAAACCAACACCAACATCAATATCAAAATAAGCATAATCAACAACAGCAGCAACAACAGCAACAGCAGCAACAGCAGCAACAGCAGCAACAGCAACAACAGCAACAGCAGCAACAACAAAATCAAAATCAAAATCAAAATCAAAATCAAAATCAAAATCAAAACCAAAATCAAAATCATAGTCAGAGCCAAAATCAAAATCAAAGTCAAAGTCAAAGTCAACACATTAAAAAACCATATAATCAAAACTTAAAATATACATCAAAACATAATTATGAACAACCATATAACTACAATAATAGCAATCACCATTGTGTTCAAAAGAATAAAGATAATATTAGATTCAGTGATGAGGAAAATAAAAATTCTCAACACCTAAATAAAAATATTTCTAATGGTGGTAAAAATAACAACAGATTCAATACCAATGACAACGTCTCCAACCTTAAAAACAATAATACCCCTAAAAACAGTAATTCAAAAACAAATAATAATAATAATAATAATAATAATAATAACAATAATAACAATAAAAATAGTAATAATAAAAATAGTAACAATAATAACAATAATAATAATAACAATAGTAATAATAATAATAATAATAATAATAATAATAATAATAATAATAATAATAATAATAATAATAATAATAATAATAATAATAATAATAATAATAATAACAATAATAATAATAATAATAATAATAATATTAAAAAACTATTATATAATGAAGGTAAAATAAAGTTTGAAAATACACCAATGGGTATGGCTTTAATTCCAGATTTTTTTAATGTGAATGAAGAATTTGAAGAAACGGTTATTATCGAAAAAAAAGAACTCACTAAAACCAATGATGGTAAGACTAACTATGTCCCAAAAGAACGATTTCTTCAAGTTGAGGGAATACCATATTCTTCTGTAGAGCTTTTGTCAATTATTTCAAAATTTCATTTAGTAATGATTGTAAAACAATTTATAAATATAAAATCAAATCAATAGTAGGTATTTTAATTCTTTTATAACATTAAATTTTATATTAACATTAACTTTTTTATTATTTTATAGCCAAAAATCCATCCCAAACAATTACAAAAAAAAGAGTTGTTTAAAAAGTTAATAGATCAAAACCCAGGTATTTTTAAATTTAGGGCATTTAAGTATGATGGTGATTTAATTTATATGTATTCACAAAACAAATTTAATGGCTTTTCAACAACAATCGAAAATCATTCCATTGAAATAACTTTTGATAAAGAAGTTTCATCTTTTAATGAACAATACCCAAAAAATATTGAAGCCATTAAATTTTTAAATATTTTAATAAAATCTGTATGTATTTGCCTTTATCACATAACATTAACATCTGTTACTAATTTGTATTTTTATTACCATAATAGTTTTTTAAAAATATCGGTTTTTCTCAGCTTGGAAAAAATTATTACTCTAAAGTAGTCGATCCACTCTCAGATTTTAGGTAAAACTTATTATTTTTAATCATTTTAAAAAAAGATTAATATTAATTTTGTATAATTTTAGATTAAATATTTATAATGGATTTGTTTCATCGACTCATTTAGTAGATGGAGGTATTGCAATGTTATTCGATGTTTGTTCAAAAATAATTAGGTCAGAAACTATATTAGATAAAATGAAAGAACTTGGTATGGATAGAAGAGATTGCGAAGCAGAGTTTATTGGGAAAGTAGTTTTTGCAAAGTATATATTTTAATTTTAACATAATTTAAATAGTTTTTTTTAAAAAGTATTAACTTTTGGTTTATTTTTTTAATAGATATAGCAATAGAAATTATAGAATTACCAATATTTCATGGGATAAATCCATAAATGACATTATGAGAAAAGATATCACTTTCAAAAGATATTTTGAAGAAAGTTATGCAATCTCACCACTTTTATCATTAAATCAACCATTGTTAGAAACTATCGTATCAAGAGGCACTGAAAACATTACCATTTATTTAGTACCAGAATTATGCTTTCAAACAGGTCGACCAAGCTTTAGTCAAGAAAATGAAATTAAATTAAAAAATGAAATTGATCATAAAACAATGCTAGCCCCACGAGATCGTTTCAAGATTTTAACCGATTTTATGAATTATCTAACAACAAACAAACTAATTGCAAATCAATTAAATAGTTGGGGTATAAAAATTGAAAAACCAATTCAAATTAATGCAGTTAAATATGAAGTAAAAACCTTGCCTAGTAATGAGGATTGTTTAAAGAATGTATGCTGGTCTCTAATAGGTCTTCAAACTGATATTGAAGGTAATGAGAGAAACCTTTCAATTCTCTGTCAAGACTATTGCAAACTATCCAAGCCATATAGTGTCGTAAAGGTTAAAGATATCAAAAGCTATGTAGAATTATTTGAAAAAGAAATCAACTCACAAACTGGACCAAGGATAGAATTGTTTATTGTTATTCTTCCAACTGAAAACCACATTGAAATCTATAAAAGTATAAAAAGAATATCATTACTTAGAAAGAATGCCGTAATTACACAGTGTATTAAAAGTATTAAGCTCAACCAAAGAATTAATTTAATTTCAAAATCAATTGCATGTCAAATTATTGCTAAAATTGGAGAGTATCCATGGATTATCGAAAATACATCATTTTCACAAATACCAAAATATACCATGGTAGTAGGAATTGATGTCACACATAACCCAGAGATCAACTATTCAGTTGCAGCTTTTGTTTCATCAATGAACAGCACCCATTCAAAATTCCACCACAAAATTAATATTCAGTCTTATTCAAAAGAAATATTAGACAGCGATTTTATTTTAAATGCAACCATCGAATCAATGACAATCTATCACAAACTTAACAACGCATATCCAGATCTAGTTATTGTTTATAGAGACGGTGTTTCAGATGGTATGTTAGATACAGTAAGATCACAAGAGGTTAGTTTTGTTAAACAAGCAGTTGGAGCATTATCAGATAAAACAAAGTTAATTTTTGTTATAGTAAAAAAGAATACAAATACCAGATTTATTGACAACAAAAACAACTCTAACCCTCCACATGGCACAATGGTTAGTGGTGGTGTAACAAATCCACAGTGGTATGATTTCTTTCTTGTTTCCCAACTATCAAGCGAAAAAACAAAATCATCAGTTAAACCTACAAACTATCATATCATTCACAATGAAACATCAATCCCAGCTGATTCTTTTCAATACTTTACATTTCAAATGTCAAATCTTTATTTCTCAATTAGCAACTCAGTGCGTACTCCAGCACCCTGTCAGTATGCTCATATTTTAGCTTATTTTATTGGGAAATATTTTAGAACATTAGAAAACAACAATAACCATAGTTTTAATATCCACCCCAATAAAAATAACAACAACAAATGTAGTAAAACATCAACAATATCTCCATCAGTTCCATTTGATGAAAAATTATTTAATAAGCTTTATTTCTTATAAAAAACAAGTATTTATTTAAATAAAATAAAATAAAAAAAAAAATAAAATAAATCTATTTCAATCATTTTAAAATTAATACATTTTATTTGTTGTTTTAATAATACATTTTTTAATTAATACATTTATCTTGGTGGTAGAATTTTTTCCATGTCTACATAAGATAAAAATTGGGTTGGAAGCTCCTCTATTACCTGATATGCAAATGTTTGTGGGTCTTCTCTGTGATGGTTAAATTGAACAAATTGAACACAATCTCTTTTCCATGCTTGATATTTAGAATCTCTAATTGTATTTTTATCACCATCTAACAAACTTGTAAATTGAAATCCATCTTTGCCAACCCCAACACTGTTAAATATAAAAAAGTTAGTCCATATATTGATATAATTACTTTATTACAAAGATATATAAAACCTACATGATAATAGATATTGGTGCTGTTGATGCAGCATGAACGGCAAGAATGGCCTCACTTCTATAAATACATTGTGGTATTTCTCCGTGTGTAAAAATGACTAAAATATTATAAGAATTACAATGTTTTTACCCTTTTTACAAGCATACTTGATAAGTTCACTAAAATTTGAGGGGCTTTTAAAACTATACTTTCCAATATTCTCCAAATACAAGCCAACCACATTTTGAGCAGTTTCCACCTGTGGAGCCTCTGGGCAAAATTTAAAAGGTTTGCAATAACATGGTTCATTATATTCATTTGGGCCTTCATGGTTGCAACCAAAACCTTGAATATTTATTTTTCCACTTGTATTGTATGGCTTTAGGATGTCACATATTTCTTGAATGGCTTGAATATACTGATTTGACTCAATATTACTGATATCATGAATGTTTTCACTTGAAGCTCCACAATTAATACCCAGCATTAAATTGATTTTGAAGCCACCATTAATATAATCATAAATAGTTGGTGTTGTTACAATTGTTACCTCTTTAAATTTAACCAAACCTGAATTTTTATAGTTTGATTTTGAGGATTTCTTTGGGTTAATGATTTCAAATTCTCTTATGCTTTCTACCAATGTATTTGTAGTTGTATAAAATTCACCAATAAGTTCGTCACTTGATATTTTGTTGTGATCATAAAATTCAAATTTGATTTTTCTGTTCATATCATTTGAATTAAATGCACAAAGCTTTAAATTAATTGGTAAAAAGATTGGTGATAAACATTTCTTTATAATCTCACTTTTATAAATGGAAACTAGGCCATGTCCTTCCACATCTTTTAATATGATAAAATAAGGATCTGATGAAAATAGATCTTTTTTATCAAAGTTATCGCCCTCAACTTTAAGAATTATATTGCTTGTTGATTCTGGTACTTCATGTGCTTGAACCTCGATGGTATATGAACTACCTGAGCTGTCTTTCATTTTATTACCAGGACTTGAAATTAAATTGCGTAGTGTAGTATTAAAACAACCATATGATTTTTCACCTGCTATAAATTCAAAGTTTTCATCACTAACATCTAATATGCTAAATGATAAATGCTGGGATTTCTCTGGCTGATAATAAATTGTTATTGCATGTTTGAAATTTAAGGAAGATGTCTTTTTTTAAATAAATAAAATTAATATTTTATTATTGAACTATAATATTATATTTATAACTACATTTTTAGCAACCTCGGTTCTACCAACTTGATTCCATTTTTCAATTTTCTCTGAAAGTACTACACATAGATCACTTTTTTTTTTAACTATTAAAAAGAAAAAGATTAATATTAATTTAATTAATAAATTTTGTGAATTAATTTAAAAAAATACCTACCTTGACATTTGATTGTTAATTCATATCTTATTTTTTTTGGTTGTTGAAATGAAGGAATCATTTTATAAATAATACTAGTGTTTGATTGTTATAAAAAAAAATAAAAAAATGAAAAATTTTTAAAAAAAATTATGATTAAAAAATAAAAAAAAAGAAAAAAAAAATAGATATTTTGGTGGATGGTTGAATATCAGTTTGAATTTTATTTAAAAGAAAAAATATAAAAAGATATTTATTATTGTTTTATTTAAATTTCCCATTTTTATTTTTTTTTTTTAAATAGAATTTTATTTTATTTTAAACACAAATTTATTAAATAATATTTTTTAAAATTATTTTATAATTATAAAATTGAATATCTATTTGAAATTAAAATTAACATTTTTATTCACCTTTTTTTTATTTTTATTTATTTTTATTTTTATTTTTATTTTTATTTTTATTTTTATTTTTATTTTTATTTTTTTATTTTTTTTTATTTTTTTTTAAAATTTTCAAAATCATCATATGACAACACATGACACAATAAAAATAAAACAAATAAAGTTATCTAAATAATTATTGGGAATATTCAACAAATATTTTTAGAATAGAGAAATAAATTAATATTAATTTTTGTGGCATGTTATATCAATATCATTATTCCCAACGCAACCATGACGAAAACAACAAAAAATAGATAAACCTCAAAAAAAAATAATTAAAATTTTATTTTTTTATTTTTTTTATTTTTTTTATAAGGGTTATATAATCGAATCACATTTTTTAAAAAATAAAATGATTTTAAAAAAAGCTTTTTAAGTTTATTTTATTTTTATTTTCATTTTGTTTATTTTTAAAATATATAAATAAATAATTAAAAAATAAAATAAAAAATAAATTAAATAAATAAATAAATAAATAACCAATTATCACTTTATATTATATATTATTATATAATATCTCTCAAAAAAAAAAAAAAAAATGGTTGCAGAAACTAATGGAGAGAGTATTATAGAATTAAATAATAATATAGATAATAGTAACAAAAAAAAAAAAAAAGTTAAAGGATTTGGTGGAAAAAAATCAGCAGAAGAAAGTTCAAACCCAATATCAAGAATTACTTTTTGGTGGGGCAATAAATTTATTTATTTTTGTTTTAGAAATGTTTTACAAATCGAGCATATTTGGAATTTAGCATCATATGATACATCTGATTTTTTAATTAAAAAAATAGAAACAAAATGGAACGAAGAAAAAAAGAAAGCAATGCCAAGTTTCCTTAATGCTTCTTTTCGAGCATTTGGTATATCTTATATTTGGAGTTGGTTATTTTATGCTATTTATGTTGGCTCATCTTTCGTGGGCCCAATTATTTTAAAGAAAATGGTTACTTTTGTATCTGAGCAAAAAGCTGGTATTTCTGACCAAGATCAAAATTGGGGTTATTACTATGGTTTAATTATATTTGGCTGTTCAATGGTTGGTTCATTATGTCAATACCAATCAAATATTATTTGTTCTAGAATGGGAGATCGTGTATGTATTTAATTATTTAATTATTTAATTTTTTTTTTAAATTTTCACTAATTTTTTTCATTTTTTACACATATTTACAGTTAAGATCTGTCATTGTTTTAGAGGTATATAAAAAAGCTTTAAGACTATCCAATGCTGCAAGAGGTACTACATCAGTAGGTCATATTGTCAATTTAATGAGTAATGATGCTCAACGTATGCTTGAAGGTTGGTATTATAGTATACACACAATACAACATCAAAATCAAAATATTAATATTTAAATTTCTTTTTTTTATAGTTACAAATTTAATTAATGCAGGTATTTTTTCAATTCCTCAAATTATTGTATGCATCGTTTTATTATATCAAGAAATTAAATGGGTAACATTTATTGGTTTTGGTTTTATGGTATTGTGTATTCCTTTGAATGGTATATCAGCAAAAGGATTATTAGAGGTTAGAAAGATATTGGTTGGTGTAACTGATGGTCGTATGAAAATTACAACCGAAATTCTTCAATCTATTAAAATTATTAAACTTTACGCATGGGAAGATAGTTTTGCAAAGGTATGTTATATAGCACCAACAAAACATAATATAGTTAAAAATAATAATTCTAATGTTTTTATACAAATTCTATAGAAAATTCTAGAGAAAAGACAAAAAGAAGTAGAGTTATTGTTTAGATATACCAAATCAATCGCAACAATGATTTCAATTATTTCTTCAGTACCAACATTAGCAACAATTTTAGTATTTTCAACCTATTACGGATACTATAAAACTATGGACCCCGCTAGAATTTTTGCAGCTTTATCATATTTAAATATTCTTAGAGTACCAATGTCATTATTACCAATTATAGTTGCATTAACAATCCAAATGAAAATTGCAGGTAAACGTGTTACAGATTTTCTTTTATTATCAGAGATTACACCAATCAAAGAGATTGATGATCCAAATACACCAAATGGCTTATATGTTAAGAACGGTAGTTTTTGTTGGAACGTTGAAAAGAAAGAAGAGTCATTTACACTAAAGAATATTGATTTTGAAGTACATGGTCCAACTTTAACCATGGTTGTAGGTTCAGTCGGTTCAGGTAAAAGCTCACTTATGAACGCATTGCTTGGTGAAATGGATTTGATTGAAGGAGATTTATCAATGAAAGGTTCAGTTGCATATGTAGCGCAACAAGCATGGATCACAAATGCCACTTTAAGAGATAATATTCTTTTTGGTAAAGAGTACAATGAAGAAAGATATAGAAAGGTAATCGAAGTATGTGCTCTTGAAAGAGATTTAGAATTATTCCCACAAGGCGATTTGGTAGAAATTGGTGAACGTGGTGTAAACTTGTCAGGTGGTCAAAAGCAACGTGTTTCAATTGCTCGTGCCGTTTATTCAAATTCTGATATATATATTTTGGATGACCCATTGTCTGCTTTAGATTCTCATGTTTCTAAACATATATTCTACAAATGTTTCAAAGAACACCTTTCAGATAAAACCGTTGTATTAGCAGCTAATCAATTAAACTATATCCCATTTGCCACCAATACCTTGGTATTAAAAGAGGGTAGAATAGATCAAAGAGGTACTTATAGAGAAATTATGGACTCACAAAGCGAATTCTCAAATATTCTAAGAGAGTATGGTGTAGATGAGGTTAGTGGTAATAAATCAAGCTCCGATCTTTCAGCACAAGATGGTATTGAGGACGTTAAAAAGACAGTAGAGATTATAGAAAAAACAAAACCACTAGAAAAACCAGTTTTAAAGAACAATGACGGTAGTTTAACTCAAAACGAGGAAAGAGAAGAGGGCGCTGTTTCATGGAGAGTTTTTTATATTTACGCTTCAGTAGGTGGTGGCTTCTTTTTCTTTGTTACAATCCTTTTATTCCTTTTAGATGTTGGTACAAACACTTTTGTAAATTGGTGGTTATCTCATTGGCAAACTATTATGATAAAAAGAGCTGAAGATCCAACCATTAATGAACTTTCAGATACTCAACTATTAGGCATTTATATTGGTATTGGTGTCGTCGCAATTATATTTGGTTGTTTACGTACTTTTGCATTTTATAATTATGCTGTACGTGTTGGTAGAGCTGTATTTTTAAAATTGTTTAATGCAATTTTAAGGGCACCAATGTGGTTTTTTGATATAACCCCGTAAGTCTAATATTTGAATTATAAAATTATAAATATAGTATTAACTTTTTTTTTTTTTTTTAAAAAAATGTAGGCTAGGTAGAATTATTAGTAGATTCTCAAGAGATCAAGATAGTGTTGATAATTTATTAGTAAATTCGGTTTCACAATTTTTAATTACTTTCATTAATGCTTTGGCCACAATTATTTTAGTTGCAATTTTTGTTCCATTAATTTTAGCACCAATGGCACCAATTGCTATAGTATTTTTCCTTTTCCAATACTTTTATAGATTTACAAGTAGAGAATTACAAAGAATTGAATCAATCTCACGTTCACCAATTTTTTCACATTTTACAGGTATATATTAATTAAAAGTATAGGTTTTAATTATTTAAAAATATTAATTTTTATTTTTTAATTTTTAATTTTTTTTAGAAACTTTAAATGGTGTCGAAACAATTAGATCCTATAGAAAGGTTGAAGATAGTATTGATACCAATCAAAAACGTTTAGATGAAAATAACAAATGTTACTTAACTTTACAAAATATGAACCAATGGTTAGGTTTAAGATTGGATTTCCTTGGTAACTTGGTAACCTTCTTTGTATGCGTATTTATTACAGTCGATAAAACCACAATTGCAGTTAGTAGCGTAGGTTTGGTACTCAGTTATTCATTCAATTTAACAGCATACCTTAATCGTGCTGCTTTCCAATATGCCGATATAGAAACCAAATTAAACTCACTCGAACGTATTTATCAATATATCAAAGGTCCAGTCGAAGCTCCACAAGTTATTGAACCACGTCCAAAAGAATCATGGCCAGAAAATGCATCAATTACATTCGACAACTTTTACATGAGCTATAGAGAAGGTTTAGATCCAGTATTAAAAGGTATTTCACTCGAAATTCGTGCTAAAGAAAAGATTGGTATTGTTGGTAGAACTGGTTCCGGTAAGAGTTCAATGACTGCTGCTCTTTTCCGTTTAGTCGAGTCATTAGAGGGTCGTATTTTAATTGATGGCGATGACATTTCTAAAATTGGCCTTAAAGATTTACGTCGTAACTTGAGCATCATTCCACAAGACCCAGTCGTATTCGCAGGTACTGTAAGAGATAATCTTGATCCATTCAATTCTTACTCTGATGAGGCCATTTGGAAAGTTCTCGAAGATGTTCAATTGACAACTTTGGTTAATTCTCTCGAAAGTGGTCTACTTTCAAAGATTTCAGAAGGTGGTGAAAATATTAGTGTTGGTCAAAGACAATTAATTTGTTTGGGTCGTGCTTTACTTAAGAAACCAAAGATTTTAGTTCTTGATGAGGCAACTGCCTCCGTAGATGGCGCAACCGATGCATTAATTCAAAAGGTTATAAGAGAAAAACTCAACGATACAACTCTATTAATCATTGCTCATCGTTTAAACACTATCATAGATTCAGATCGTATTATAGTTTTGGATTCAGGTAAAATATCAGAATTTGACACACCATGGAACTTATTACAAGATAAAAACTCTCTCTTTAGTTGGTTAATTCAAGAAACTGGTCCATCAAATTCAATTTATTTATATAACTTGGCCAAAGCTAAACATGATGGTGTACCACTCGATCAAATAATCAATTTAATTACTATTCCAGAAAACTCTATAAATAATATTAGTAACAATATAGAAGATATTATCGACAACAACAACAACAATAATAATGATAATGATAATAATATCGATAATGATGATAGTGGTGATAATTAAAACAGTTTAGATTATTTTAAATTAAAATTAAATAAAAAAACACACAATTTAAAAAATATGTGTGGGTAAAAAAATATTTTTTTTATCAGGATTACAAATATAATTAAACCATGGGGGGTATAAAAGTAATATTCACATAGGTTATAAATATTATTATATTCATTAAACTTTAATACATTGCTATTTACAATTTTGATTTGAAATTAAAAAAATATTTTTTTTATTAAAACCACCCAAAGAGTTGTTTATGATAATCTATTTGCGATATTTTTATAATTTGAAAACAATCCAAAATTCTTTATTTTTATTTCTATAAAAAATTAATAGTTGTGTATATATTTAGTTTATTTATACCATCCCATTTTAATCAAATGATAATATAAATCTAAAAGATACATATAATCTTCAATTGTTAAATAAATTCGAAAAAATAAAAAATAATAGATTGGTCAATAATAAGCTATCAAAGTAGTTTAAAATTGAAATGATATAATTATTTTATTTTATTTTATTTTATTATTTAATTATTTTTTTATTTTTTTATATTTAATTATTTAAATAAAGATTTTGTTATTGTTTTTTTTTTTTTATTTGTTTTTTTATTTCGAAATAATTATATAAAAATGGAAAATAATTTTTCAAATGATTTTAAAATATTGTTAAATAAAACTATTCTATCACCAGGGAAAATTGCAGGTACGATTATAGTAACGTTTATTATTACAGCCATAACCGAGTTTACTTTTTTTTTTTTAAGTTATACAAAATTTGATATTGTGGCATGCAAATTACCGGGTGATAATACATCAGAGTTTTCTTTTAACAATTGTTTTAAAAATGAAGAAAAAGATTTATCTTTATCAAATTGCCTTAATGATAAATATTTTACAAATTCAAATTATTCATTATCATTTAATATTCCTGCAACTGGGTTTGATGGTGACCGTTATAGCAAATTAATTTTAGCATTTTCTATACTGTGCTATTTTTCAATTATGGGTATATTTGAAATTGTACATTATTTTCATTTGGTAAAAAAAAAAAGAATTATAGAAATATTAGGTAGTTCAAAGATTTTGGTGGATGGTGAAAATAAGTATGAAAAACGATTTGGTATATTTTTTATTGTAATGGTATGGGTATACGTAATATTAAAATTAGTATGGATATTTTATAGATCTAAAATTTACAGTACTATAGACTGCTATGGAGAAATATACGATTTTAAAGTTCAGCAAGGTTTATATTTCGTTACTGCTCTTTATGTAATTTTTCAAACCATCTTAACCATATCCATTTTACCAGCCCTCTATATAGTTGCTTCACAAAATTATTTATGCGACGTTAATTTAAAAGTGCTATTAAACAATCTTTCATATGGTTCTATAAATGAATTAAATTTAATTACAACTCTTGACGTTAAAATATACAGAAAGTTAATTCAAGAACAACTGGCCTTTAAATATTCAAATGATAATATATTTAAAAAAATAATAAGATTAAATACTTTTAGTTTTGAAATGACCAAAACTGACGAAATATGTGAAATTCTTAAAAACCATAAAGAAAACCACTCAGAAGACTTTAAAAAAATAATTTTTGATTCATTACCCAAAAATTCAATAAATACACTAAATTGATGGCATCGGATTTTTAAAATAATAAAAAAATAAAATAAAAAAAAAAAATTAAAAAAAAAAAATAAAATTATTTTTTTAGGTTTGCAGAAATAGGTTGGAGTTTCATGACATTATTTCTATTCCAAAAGTAATGAGAAATAGCATTTAGATTTTTAAAAGATTAACGTTTATTGTATTTTTAGGATGAGTTTTTAAAAATTTTTAATATTATACAATCCTAACTTTTTAGGTAATCAATTTTAATTTAAATTACATAAAAAAAAAAAAAACATAAAAAAAAATTATTGTTTTATAAATAGATAAATAGAAAAATAAATAGAAAAATAAATAAATAGAAATAATTAAATAATTTTAAAAATAATATAAAATTAAAAAATAAAAAATGAATGATTCATTTTCATTTGATTTTTATAAATTATTAAAAAAAATACAAGCAAAACCTATTAAAATAGCATTAACCATTATAATTACATTTACATTAACAAGTATTGCCGAGGTACAATTCTTTTTTCAATCTTATACAAAGTATGATATAAACGGTTGCCAAATCCCCAATAATTCTTCATCGGGTTTTACAATAAATAACTGTTTTGGTAATGATGCAAAAGATCTCACAGTAACCAATTGTCTAAACTCTTTATATGGTACCAATTCAAACTATTCACTTGAATTTCGTGTACCAGTAGTCGGTATCAACGGAATCGATAAATTCAGTAAAATAATATTGGCCTTAGCATTTATATCATATTTTAGTATTTTAGGATTCCTTCAAATTGCAGTTTACTTTCAATTTCAAAAAAGAAAAAGAATTCAAGATATAATTGCGGGTTCAATGGTTTTTGTTGATGGCACAGGCAAATATGAAAGAATCATTGGTTGGTACTCTTTTGGAATGGCATTTGTATATCTTGCAATTAAAATCATATGGATAATGTACCGTGCTAGTGTTTATGGTAAAATAGATTGTGATGGTACTGAATATATATTTGAATTACAACAGGGTTTATCAACATCAATTGGTATTATAATCCAAACTCTTTTTACCTGTATCATTCTTCCGCTAGTATATGTACTTCAAAGCAAAAACTATCTCAACGACATCAATTTAAAAGAAATAATGACCAATTTCACCAACGAATCACTTAAACAATTTAAATATATTTCAATATTAAAAACTGAAAAATATAAAGAAATTTTAGATAATTATTTTAAATCAACTTATCCAAATGATACTTTTATAACTAGATTCTTTAGATCCAACACTTTTAGTTTTTCAAAAACCCCAAATTCAGAAATTATTCAAATAATATTAAATCATAAAAAAGATTATCCACAAGATTTTGAACCAATGCTTTACAAAGAATCTAAAATATCAATTAAAACATTAAATAATATATAATAAAATTTTTAAAAAAATGTATATAATAAAATAATAAGAAAAAACCAAAAAAGTCCAAAATAATTTACTATTTAATTTTTTTTTTTTTTTTTTTTGGTTATAATGACCAAGGTGAGCTTTAAATTCAAAAAAACCCATGAAATAACAGTACTTATAATATAAAAGCACAAGGTTTATAATTAAAAGAAACGTATTGTTAATAAATAGCTACTTACTATAGTATCAAATGGTTTATGATTTCAGTTGCAATGGCTCAATAATAGTAATAGTAATAAAAGGAAAAATATATAAATGACACAAAATAAACAAAACAATAATAATAATCATAAAATAATAGCAATATTAATAAAATGAATCTATTTTATTAAAATTGTAATTAGTACTTAAGAAAAAAAAAAAAAAAAAATAATAAAAAAAAAAATAATAAATAATAAATAAAAAAATAAAAAATAAAAATAAAAATAAAAAAATAAAAATAAAAATAAAAATAAATAAATTTTGAAAAATTTTTAGAAATTTTTTTAATTTATTTTTATAAAAAAATAAAATAAAATAAACAACAACATTATAAATCCTGAAAAAAAAAAAATAAAAAAATAAAAAAGTTGTAGCAAAAAAACAATAACTGAACCCCTATAGGGCTTGTGTGATAATATATCTTATAATAATTTTTAAAAATAGATTTATGTTTGCGCAAACAAATTGAATCATTCCTCCCAAAAAGGAAGTGACATGCAGCGTGTCGACAAATAAAAAAAAATTTTTATAAAAAAATATTTATTATTTTTTTTTCTTTTCTCTTTATTTTTTTTTTTTTTGTGTTTTGTTTAAATACAACCTTTTTTCTTTTTTTTATATTAATGCTGTTTAAATAAATAACTTCACAATACTTTTTTTTTTTTTGTGTTTTGTTTAATTATATATTTTTTTTTTTTGTTTTTTTTTAGTTAAAGGGGGTTAAAATTTTTTTATAATTTTTTTTAATTTATTTTTCATATTTATTAAAGTATTAAATAAACCATTAATTTGTAATATAAATAAAAATAATAATAATTTGTAATAATAATAATAATTATAACTATAATAATAATATAGTAATATATATATATATTTATATACCTGTTGAATAAAATAAAAATAAAAAATAATGAATAACCAATTTACATTTGATTTTAATAATTATTTAAAAACTATTCAAGCTTCAAATGTTAGATATATAGTAATTGGTGTGATTACACTTGCGTTTATGATGTTTATGGAGTATGGTTTTTATGTTAATTTCATCAATGTAAATATTACACAATGTTCATTGGCAAATCAAGGTCCGTCCAATTCCTCATTAGATAATTGTTTTGTAGATCAAGTTCCAGAGTGTCTATTTGAAGAATTTCACACTCAATCAAAATATTCACTCAATTTTCCGGTATCGTTATTTGGATTGAAAGGAGATAAATACAGTGTTGTTATTTTAGCGCTTTCATTGGTTTGTTTCATTTTGGAAATTGGACTTTATTTACTTTTAGATTATAATTTATTTTTAAAGAAAAAGCGTATTCAAAATACAATGGCAAATTCAATGGTAATTATAAAAATAAAATAAAATAATATTTTTTGATTGTGTGGTAAATAAAAATATTAATTTCAATTTTAATTATAGATATTTATAGATGGTAAAAAAAAACATGAAAATGGTTTTACAATTTTTCTTCTTGTAGATCTTGCAGTTTATACAGTATTAAAATTTGTTTGGGTGTATTGGAGAAATCACCAATACAGCGAATTTGTTTGCGATGGAGGTGTGATTCATCTCACATTTGGTCAAAATATTACCAGCTCCATTAGTACCATTGTTTTACTCGTTGTAACCTATGTTTTTTTCCCTCTAATGTATTTCTTTGCCTATTACAATCTTCTTTCCGATATGGATTTCAAGAATATGATGTCCCATCTCTCCTATCAAACTGTAAAGCAATTTAAATATATCACTGTATTGGACGTTAGTAAATATCAAGATATCATTGATGATTTCATTCAAGATAAATATTCCGATGAATCATTCATATCTAGATTTTTAAGATCCCATACATTTACCTTTTCTAAAACCACCGATCAAGAGATTTGCGAAATCCTTTTAGCACATAAAGAAAAGAGTCCATATGATTTCGAACCAATGCTTTGCAACGAACCTAAAATTTCAATCAATGACAATGGTCGTGACGATGGTGCATACAAAAGTATAGATAACAATAACGACAGCGATAGCGATAAGGATAATGATGCATATCGTAACACTGAAAAAGAGAAATTAATCAAATAATTAATTATAAAAGAAAAAAAAAAAAAAGAAACTTAAATTTTATAATTTTTAAAATTATTACATTAATAATTTTATTTTATAAAAATTAACAAATAATAAAACATAATAAATATTTAAAAAATACCAAAATCATTTATATTTATCGGTTTTTTTTTTTTTTTTTTTTTTCGTTTTTTAAATTTTTTTTTTTAAATTTATTTTTTTTTTAATTTTACTTATTTTTTATTTTTTAAAAATTTAAATTTGGTTTGGTAATAATAATTTTTTTTTTTAAAAACCACCCCCCTTTAAAAACCAATTTTATAAAAGGAATAGTAAATTTAAAAAAAAAAACCCAAAATTTAAAATTGGTGGTGATGTAGATAACGAACAAAGACAGTTTTTTAAAGATGCATCAAAAGAAATTAGAGAGTTGGGTTTAAAAGTAGCCCATAGAAATGTAAAAAAGAAATCAAAGGTAGATGATTTAAAAAGCTCAGGAAGAAAAGTAAAGAAATCTTTTGTTCCATTTAAAAAAGCAAAAGAAACTCATAGAGTTGAAAAGGAAAAACAAGACAAGTTAATTTCAGAGGTAACTATTAGGGTTCATCTTTCATAAATAAAAACATCGTATAAAAAGATAGATATTAAATGTATTACATATAATTTATAGGCAATTTTAAGAGGTGAGAAACCAATTTTACAAAAGAAAAAGAAAGAAGAAAAAAGCGATGAACCATCACTTAAAATTGGTAAATTTTCAAATGGTACTTTGCTTATTAACAAACAAGATATCAAAACTGTATATAATAGTGGCAAGAGAGGAGGTAAAGGAAATAGTAGAGGTGGTAAAAGCAGCGGTGGAAGAGGAGGTAGAGGTGGAGGTGGAGGTGGTAGAGGTGGAGGTGGTAGACAAGGCGGAAGAAGATAAAAATGCGTTCACCACACCCCATATATATATCAAATTTTTTTTTTTTTTTTAATTAAAAAAAAAAAAAATAAACAATCAAGTAATCAAACAATCAGCTATTTGTAAATATTTCTAAAAATAAAATTTATTATTAAAAAAAATAAAATAAAAATCATAAACTATTAAAATCATAAACATACCAGGATGGGGTTTATGTGAAAAATATAAAATATCTTGTTATCCGCATGGTTCCCATTTAATTTTTTTTTTTTTTTTTTAATTTTTTTTATTTTTTTATTTTTTTTTTTTTCAAAGTAGTTTAAATTTTATTTTTTTATTTTTTTATTTTTTTTACAATAAATTGAAATTTTTTTTATTCCCTTTTATTTATTACGATACATATAGATTTAATAAAAACTATATAGTTTAAATTAAATAAATAGGATGAAATTTGTAATATTATCCATTTTAATATTGTTTGTAACAATTTCATTTGGAATTGACCAATCTACATTCAACAATTTCGAAGATGGTTCATCATCATCCTCCTCCTCATCATCAACAAAAAAATATTACTCTTTAACAAGTAATTTTGATGTTGTACCAGGTAAACAAGTTCCAAATTCAATCGCTTGGGTAAATACAATTAATTATTATAATTGTAATAATAATATTGATATTAATATACTATTATTGTTTTTTTTTTTTTTTTTTTATATTTTTTTTTTTTTGTAGGGTTATTTCCAAGATGATTTATATCAAGATGGTTGGGGTAAATTATCAATTGATACAGTTTCAACAGTTTCAGATGATATTGCATTCAAAGCAGCAGGTTATTTAGAAGGTTATTTAACTTGGAATTATATTTATAATTTTTCAGTAAATTATTTCAATACCTATTTCAATACATCAAATATTAAAGAGTTTCCACTTGAAGTTATTGATTTTGTTAGTACCAATTGGGAATATATGGAAGAACAAATTGCCTCAGCCTCAACAACCGATCCATATTGGATTCAAGTAAAAAATTCAATGACTCAACAATTAGGTCTTTTTGAAGGTTATAACGCTGCAGCTGGTTCAGATTATGTAAATATTAAATAGAATATAAAAAAAACTATTTTTTAGTATACTAATATTTAACAAAAAAAAACAAAAAAAAAAATAGCAAAAAACATTTTTAGAAATTTATATGATTAATTTATATGGTGATTTAGGTGATATTGTCACAGCAACAACTCAAAACAACACTCATTTTTCACCAATGAACCAAAAAAATGTTGAAGAGTATATGGCAACAACCGGTCATTGTACTACTTTAATTAAATTAACAGCAAACAACTCTGAACTTTATGTTGCTCATACTACTTGGAGTGAATATGCCGATATGATTAGAATTTATAAAAGAATTAATATCCCAGTTGCATCTACACCATATGGTAGTGAAACTTTATTTGCTTCATATCCAGGTCTTTTAGTTTCAATTGATGGTATGATATATAATTTAATTAAAAATTTTATAAATACACATAGATATTAATATAAGTCATTTATTTTAAAAAGATTTTTATATGATCCGTCCATCAAAATTACAATTAACAGAAACTTTAAATTCAATTTTAAATCAAACTCTTTACACTCTCATCAAGCCACAAACATTTTTATATTGGGTTAGAAATTTAGTTGCAAATAGATTATCAAATAACGGTTTTGATTGGGTCAAATATTTTGTTATTAATAATTCAGGTACCAATAATATTCAATTTATGATTGTTGATTATAAACTCTTTACACCATATGCACCATTGGTACCAGATACTCTTTGGATCGTCGAACAATATCCAATGGGTTATGTTGCTGCAGATGTTACCTTCAATTTAATACAAGATGGCTATTGGGCAAGTTTCAATCGTCCATACTTTTTAGAGGTATTTGATGTTCTTGGTTACCCATACTATGTCACTCAATACGGTAAACTCTTTACATATGAAAACAATCCACGTGCAAATATTTTCCGTGCTCAACAAGGTTCAATCGAAACTGTCAAGGATATGCAAAATATGATCGAATATAACGAGTGGAAAACTGACCCATTCAGCGAAGGCTATCCAGGTAATGCTATTGCTGCAAGATATGACTTAAAGGGTGGTCCAGATTATATCCCATCATGGTGGTATCGTGGTGCTCATGGTGGTATCGATGCAAAACTTATGAGTAATGCAATGTTTAACTCATACACTGCTATGGCACGTAACGGACCAACTGTAACTGATGATTGTCCACCATTCAATTGGGCTGATTGGGATAGTATTCCACATCAAGGTATGCCACAAATTTTCAATTTTTCGTGGATTACAATCGATTTAAATTAAATTAATCAAAAAAAAAAAAAAAAAATTAAATAAAAACAAAAGTATAAAAATAAAATTTGTAAAAAAAATAATAAAACTAAAAATATACGTTGTAATTGTTTTTGTAGTTATTTTGATTTCTCATAATTTTTTTATTTATTTATTTATTTATTTATTTATTTATTTATTTATTTATTTTTTTATTTATTTATTTTATTTTATTTTATTTTTTTGGTTGACCAAAGAGTGCTTTATAAAAAAGGAAATTTAAATTTTAATATTGTTTGATTAATTTAAAACAAATAAAAAAACCATTTTTGTTTGTTTATATTTTGCAGTTTTTCAGAGTATTCACAATATTTTAATTTTTTTTTAAGCTAATATGAACCCACAAAAAAAATTTTCAAATAAAATATTTATTGTTTTTTTTTTTTTTTTTAATTTTTTTTTTTTTTTTTTTTTACCATTTATTTTTTAATTTTTTTTTTTTTTTTCATATTAATTATTTATTTATTATACTATTTATTTATTTGTAACATATAAAAGTAAATATTCAAAAACGCTCTGTGTAAACCCTTCAAACACCCACTCATTCACTAAATTTAATTTATATTAAATATAAAGTCAAAAATAGAAAGTGGTGTGTTTGAGAGATATAAATTAATATTTTTTTTCAGTTACATTTATTACCACACACACAGTTTCATTAATTTTAATATAAAATATTTTTATTATATTTTTTTTTTATAATTTTTTTATTTATATAAATTTTTTTTTTATTATTTTTTTATTTTTTATTTTTGTTTTTTATAATACTTTTATTATAATAATAATTAGTTTTATATTATATAACTTTTATTAACACTATTTATAATTATAAATTTATAGAAAGAAAGAAGAAATGAGTGTTCAATTTTTAAATATTGACGAATGTAAAGCAGCTTTAGCAGATTTAAGAAATGATTCAAAACCAACAGATTGGATGGCATTATCATTTGAATCACCAAAATCACAAAAGATTAAATTAGTTGGTAGTGGTAGTGGTGGTGTTAAAGAATTGGTTGATAATTTCCAAGATGATGTCGTTGGATTTGCTTTAGTTAGAAAGATTGATAAAATTGATGATAGTGAAACTGTTAAATTTGCATTCATTAATTTTATTGGTGACAAAGTTGGTATTCTCCAAAAGGGTAAAATCTCTGTTACTATTGGTGGTGTTAAAGAATTCTTTGGTTCTTTCCAATGCGATTTTACCATCACCTCAAGAAGTGAAATCTCTGACGAAATTGTTATGGGTAAAATTCAAGAGATTTCAGGTTCAAGTTCACGTGTTTTAGATGAAAGTGGTTCAAGAAAAGTTGGTACTAGCTCACCAACCAGCGGTGCAAGAAGATCAACTGCTTTTTCAGGTTCAGTTGGTTCATCAAATAAAGATGCTCTTAAATTGGGTGATGAAGCCGCTATTCGTGAAGCCTTAAAAGAATTTAGATCAGATGATAGCGAAGTCGATTGGGTTCTCTTTGGTTATGAAGGTGGTAATTCAAACACTGTTGTCTTAATTGGTAAAGGTAGCAATGGTCCATCAGAATTAATTGAACAATTACAAGACAATATGGTCGGTTATGGTCTCGTTCGTATCGTTGAAAAAATTGATAACAGTAACACCGTCAAATTTGCCTACGTCAATTGGGTTGGTGAAGAAATCCCAAGAATGTTACGTGCCCGTTTAGGTACCCACACTAATTTCATCAAGCAATTAGTTCAACCATACCACGTCGATATCAAATGTACTACAAAATCTGAAATCTCTGAGAAGATTATCGTCGATACTGTTGCCAAAGCTTCAGGTACCGCTTCAATGGTCTTAGAAAATGCTAATCAAGGTGGTCGTCAAACTACATCATATGCCAACACTTCATCATCATCAGGCACAAACACCCAAAGATCATTCACTGGTACCGGTAGTAGATTCACTACCCCATCAGCTGTTCCAACCTCATCAGGTAAAACTCTTTCTATCGAACCAGAAGTCTATGAAGCTCTTAAAGACGTTCGTTCAGATGCTTCTGATACCAACTGGTGCTTAATTGGTTATGCCAATGAAACTACTCTCTCTGTTTTAGGTAAAGGTAATGGAGGTGCCGATGAGCTCGCCCAACACTTAAAATCAAATATCGTTGCCTATGGTCTTGTTCGTGAAGTTGAAAGATTCGATCTCTCTGATACCGTTAAATTTGCCTTTATCAATTTCGTTGGTGAAGAAATCCCAAGAATGTTCCGTGCTAAATTAGGTACCCACTCTGGTAAAGTTAAAGAAGTTTTTACTCCATACCATGTTGATTTAAGTGTTTCAGAACCATCAGAAGTTTCAAATGAAAGTGTAGCCAAAGTTATTAAAGTTAACTCTGGTACTTCCTCAAGAGTCAGAGATTAAAAGGATATTTAAAAAAAAAATATTTATACATATACACACACCATCTATATATAACCCCTTAATAATTTAATAGTATCAACCTACTATTTTATTTATTTATTTTTTTATATTTATAAAATTATCTATTTATAAAAAAATAAAATGTAAAAAAACATTTAAAATAAAACAAATAAAATAAATATTTATTTTATTAAAAAAAAAAAAAAAAAGGTATCATTTATTTTTTATTAACGAAGTTTAAATTAATATAAAGTTTTTTAATGTGTAATATTTTATTAAAGTTTTATTTCAAAGTTTGAGGTTACTTATATATTTTTTTTCCACAATTGACTTATCTTTCCTATTAACTTGAATCTCTTAATTACTTATTCATATGTTGAGCATTTAAATTTTTGTCAAATAAACAATGTAGTCACACATAAATTCCTGGTTTAAATCGTTTAATTAAAGGTTAACCACCTATTTTTGGGTTGTCTGTTCAATTAGAATGAATCAAATTTAAAGAATTTACTTTTAATTTTTTTGAATATTTAATTTTGGATATTTAATTTTGGATATTATATTTATATGTTATTAATAATTCATCGATTTGGTTCTATTATTATATTTTCACTCTAAAAATATCTTAACTCCATATCTTCCAAAGTTTCTCTAATTTTTTCGTGATCTTGATTTACCTGGCTTGAATTAAAATTACATAAATTTTTTTTTATTAATTGCTAACCACGAATTTTTGACTTACCCCTTCAATAAGAATGGTGCAAAGTTTAACATGACTTTTATTAATTTATTTTTAGAAAAAATTTTTAGTAATTTAATTTTAGTTAATTAATTGTAATTTTGGTTATTTAGTTTTTGTTGAATAATTTTTGTTATTTAATTTTTATTTGTAATTCATGGATAAGCTGCAGCTTTCCAGGTGTATCGGTATTTTCATTCTTAATATCTGAATTCCATATCTTGCTAAACTTCTCTAGCCTGTTGACTATCTTCATTGTGTGGTGTCGCTGAATAGCAGGATCTTGGTGTTGTAGTTTCTTATATATTCTCTCTTTCCCATGCCGCGCAGATTAACTTAGATCTCTTGAGTACTCTTTCAGCTAAATTTACACATAAATTTTATCGCTTTTTTGAAATCTGTGATATAACAACAATTCTAAAATCAATTCAAATTTATTATAATAATTATAAACATATATCACATTTATTAGAAAAAGACAAACATATATTATTTTATAATTATCATAAAATTTAGACACATTTTTAATTTAAATAATCACACATCTATTATTTTATATTTATCATCAATTGTAAACACATTTTTAAAATTAAATATTTTTTTAAATTAATTTTAATTTTTTAAAAATAATATTTTTCAGTATAAATTAAAATTCAAAAATAATTTTTAGTCAGAGAAGAATAACAGAAAGTAATAAGTAATAGTTTAGTTATAGAATTTATAAATAATAATAATTAGTAATTTTTAGTTTTAATAAAGATAGTTATTTTTTAAAATATAATTTTTAAATATTTTTATATATTTATTTTGGTTTTATTATATTTTATTTTATCTTTATTTTGTGTTTTATTATTATTATAATTAATTATTTAGTTTATAATACATTTTGTTTTGTAATTAATTCATTATATTAGAGTTCTTAAATATAACATCAGTTATATTACAAATGTAATGATACCTCATAAAGATAATGAAAGTTTTCAAATAATAATTCTTAAAATAGTAATAAGAAGTTTTATAATAATATCTCTTAAAATAGTAATAATTTTCCATTTATAATATATTTAGTTGAAACTGTCACATGTTTAACATATTATACATTCATGTCAACTTGTTTATGATTGTATAAATACTTCAGTAATAATTCTTTATTAATGACTTATATATAAAATATTAACTTCTAATAACAATAACAATAAATAATATAATAACTAAAATACTTAAATAAAGGTTTCTAAACTATATTTCTATTATAACTATATTTCTTTATTAAACTTGGTAATATTCCTGTAACTCCGAGTGGAGCTCTAACTGTAACTATCTTTCAGATAGGGGTTCTATCACACAAATCACAGAACAATGTTCGGATGGTGTAGTTGGTTATCACGAATCCTTAACACGGATTAGGTCGTGGGTTCGATTCCCGCTCTGAATATTTTTTTTAATGTCTTTATTATCTTCCAGGAGATATTATTTCTGGAAGGTCCACTTTGGCAGGTTTTCAGAATCACACACGAATTGACGTTACCGTGCCCAAC